GCACACGGGCTGGGCACGCCCTTGCTGATGCTCCCTCCGGAAACCGAGCCCAGGGTCGTCCCTGGAAGACGGGGACACGCGGGCTGCAGGGTGTCTGAGACCCGGCCCAGGCCCTGGAGGCCCCCGACTCCCCAGCTGGGTCTGGGTGCGGCGCCCACGCCCGCCTCCACCCTCCGAGGACCTCACCTCTCAGCACGGACGTCTCCTGGGCCGTGGGCACCCCCAGGCTCTCCGGGGGCCCCGCCTGGCCCCGTGGGGACAGCTGCTCCTGTTTCACGCTGCTGAAGGGCGCTGGGGACGGGCGAGAGCAGTGAGCCAGGCACAGGGACAGGGCCCCTCCCCTCCGACCTCGGGCTGGGCCCAGCGCCACGGGGGTCCGCAGAGCCAACCCCCGAGTTCTGGCCAGAGTCCACAGGCCACGCTGCCCCCACCCCCCTGAGAGACAGCTGCATAACCCAGGTGCCCCCCGACAGGGACAGCTGGACCACGTGTGGGCCCTCCGATGGCGAGGCCCCGATGCTTACCCAGCTTCTTGGGGTCCAGGGCAGGGGCCAGCCCCATGGCGAGGGGGCCCACGGGGACCTTGGCGTGCTCTGAGTATGGGATGTGCAGCTGCACCGACAGTCCCTGAGGGGACAGAGGTCATGGTGTCACCGGGCCCCCGCGGTCCCTCCACCACAGGCCCCGGCCCAGCCAGAGTGCCCAGACCCCCCCTTTACAAGGGCCCAAGGGGGGACCTCGGGATCAGGTCCCCGGGGCCCATTCCACCGAGCCCCCCGAGGAAGGCCTGTTCTCCGGGCACCAGGCCTCGCCCGGGGGGGGGCACCCACCTGCCTGTCCAGGACGCTGGGGTGCTTGGAGGAGGAGATGAGGGGCGGAGGGTTGGAGATGGTGGGCGGGCGTGGCAGGACAGGCCGGGTGCTGTCATGCAGGCCCAGGGACAGCGGGTGACCTGCAGGGCACAGGTCTGTCTGTCATAGGGCCCCCCGCGTGGCCGGGCCCCCGCGAACAGACTCCCCCTCGCCTCTGCCCTGTCCACCAGGGAGGTGACCATCCACATGTGCCCCGTGCGCTCCTGTGTCTGCCCTCAGGAGCTGGCTATGTCCTTGGTTCAGATACCACCCCCCCCCCCCAAGGGAAAGCTGGGTCCACCCAGCACCTCGACGCCTGCCCAGACCCCATAACTGGTCTCCCTCCTGGAGTCCGTCCCCTCACGGGAACCAGAAGGTCTCTGTAACAAGTCCGCTGGCTCACACGCTCCCCCTGCTGAGACCCTGCTATGGCTCCCACTGCCCCCAGGACAGAGTCTTAACCTCCGGCCGGCTCCTGCGGCCTGGGGATGGCGGCCTCCCTGGGCTCCCCAGGCACCCAGCTCCCCCCACGGCAGCCTGATTCTGTTTCTCAAGCTCAGCCTGCTCTGGACTGCCTCTGGGCCTTTGCACATGCTGTTCCCTCTGCCGGACATGCCCTTCCTTGCTGTTCTCCTCGGTCATCTGGCCCACTCGGCCTTCAGGATCCGTTCTGTTTAGCACGGACCTTCGGCATCAGCTTCTGGTGGGGCCCCCAAAGGACCTCCAATCCAGGCTGACTGTCTCTGGAAACCAAAGCAGCCCCTTCCCTCTCTCCTCAGCCTTCCTCCCAGGACTTCCCCTCCAACCAGCCATGCTCCAGCTCAAGCACCATCTATGGCTCCCTATCCCCAGTTAGTTCCACCCCAATCCTGCAGATGGCTCAGGCCGCCACAGATCCCCATCCAACCCAGATCCCCCTGCACCGAGCGCGAGCCCGTGTGAGCAGCTGGCGCCCGAT